TCGCATGTCCAGTGTTCACTTGTCGAAACACAAATACGGACTCTACTGGATCCGACACAAGTTCACAGATCGACCCAGGCTACAATAGGTACCAGGATATGGTCCTGGAAGCAAACGCGGCTTGCGGGATGTTAACGACATTCCCCATTGTTCTACAAAAGTATTAGTCCAGCCCTATGTGCCCAAACCGCCACTGGTGGAAGAAGGGTCCTTACCTTCTACTGTTTTCTACCAGATCTGCATTAGACTTCCCAGCACCCCAAGAGTCAGACACTAGATGTGCATAATGCTTCCCAGCCCCCCAAGAGTCAGACACTAGATGTGCACTAGAGTTACCAGCACCCCAAGAGTCAGACACTAGATGTGCATTAGACTTCCCAGCACCCCAAGAGTCAGACAACAGATGTGCATTAGACTTCCCAGCACCCCAAGAGTCAGACAACAGATGTGCATTAGACTTCCCAGCACCCCAAGAGTCAGACAACAGATGTGCATTAGACTTCCCAGCACCCCAAGAGTCAGACAACAGATGTGCATTAGACTTCCCAGCACCCCAAGAGTCAGACAACAGATGTGCATTAGACTTCCCAGCACCCCAAGAGTCAGACAACAGATGTGCATTAGACTTCCCAGCACCCCAAGAGTCAGACAACAGATGTGCATTAGACTTCCCAGCACCCCAAGAGTCAGACACTAGATGTGCATTAGACTTCCCAGCACCTCAAGAGTCAGACACTAGATGTGCACCAGACTTCCCAGCACCCCAAGAGTCAGACACCAGATGTGCACTAGACTTCCCAGCATCCCAAGAGTAAGTCACCAGATGAACATAGTCTGTAGTCATTGTCTATGTCAGCTGTAGACTATTATGAAACAGAACAGTGAAGGAGAGATGCCAGAGGCCAAGTTGCCCCAGGCGGGATCACAAAATCGATTTCCCGCCAAAAAGCCACAACAATGGCCGGCAAACTCGACAGGCCGGGAGTCACGTTTCAGCCGGTGTTACCGACACCAAACAACCGTTATATTCAGCCAAGCGTGTCGGCGTTCAAGGTGAGGTGGCTAGGTAACTGACACCTGGTCTGTGACGTCACAGAAGACCTGTCTTTCTCGACGTATTTTGTCCTGAGATGTGGTGATGAGGGGAAGACAATCACGGAATGATTGTGAGGCAGAGGGAAGATGTCAAAGGATCTCACAAATTCAACGGTGGCATTCAGGGTTTTACTGACATGAAGGAAGGAATGGGTTCAAGCAGGTGGTGACAACTGGCAAGACTGATGGAAAGAGAGCGAGAGACAGGCAAAGAGATGAAAAACTGGATCGAAACACGAAAACCTGCGCTTTTCGACACGGCACATTATGATGATGCCGATGAATGATTTCTGCAGAAGTCTCTGTTAGTATACTTCTCTCGTTTTGTACTTTTCACGGATGTATTAGTTTCTAGAACTGTCTCTTTCTCTATTTGTATCTTTCCTGCATTACTTTCTAGAACTATCTCTTTCTCTATATGTGTCTCTCCTGCATTACTTTCTAGAACTATCTCCTTCTCTATATGTGTCTCTCCTGCATTACTTTCTAGAACTATCTCTTTCTCTATATGTGTCTCTCCTGCATTACTTTTAGAACTATCTCCTTCTCTATATGTGTCTCTCCTGCATTACTTTCTAGAACTATCTCCTTCTCTATATGTGTCTCTCCTGCATTACTTTCTAGAAGTATCTCCTTCTCTATATGTGTCTCTTCTGCATTACTTTCTAGAACTATCTCCTTCTCTATATGTGTCTCTCCTGCATTACTTTCTAGAACTATCAATTTCTGCATATGTTTTTTTTGTAGATTGTCTTCCCTCTAGGTGTATTTTTTCTCAATATATTTACTTTAAAAAAAATAAGCAAACAACGCGAAAAAACGCAAGAAAAAAGAAAACGCAAGAAAGAAAGAAATAAAAAGAAAGAAACTTGAAAGAAAGAAAGAAAGAAAGAAAGAAAGAAAGAAAGAAAGAACGGTGAAAGAATACAAGAAAGAAAGACACTAGAAAGAAAGAAAGAAAACAGCCATATAAGAAAAAAAAGGAACTAGAAAGAAAGAAAAAAAAGAAAGAAGAACAGAACAATATAGAAAGAAAAAAAAAAGAAAGAAAGAAAGAAACTAAAAGGAGAGAAAGAAACTAGAAACTATACAAGGAAAACAAATAAATAAACCAGAAAACAAGAAACTAGAGAGAAAGAAAGATAGGTACCAGAAATGTAAAAAAAACTTTAAAGAAAGAAAGAAAGAAAGAAAGAAAGAAAGAAAGAAAGAAAGAAAGAAAGAAAGAAAGAAAGAAAGAAAGAAAGAAAGAAAGAAAGAAAGAAAGAAAGAAAGAAAGAAAGAAAGAAAGATAGAAAGATATAAGAAATATTTAAAGAAAAAAAAGTAGCTATAAAGAAAAAAAGAAAGAAAGAAAGAAAGAAAAAAAAAGAAGGAAAGAAAGAAAGAAAGAAAGAAAGAAAGAAAGAAAGAAAGAAAGAAAGAAAGAAAGAAAGAAAGAAAGAAAGAAAGAAAGAAAGAAAGAAAGAAAGAAAGAAAGAAAGAAAGTGCTGCCACTGGCTCAGGGTACGTCACCTGTGTCCGTTCATCTGTCAGGCCGATTGTTTCTTTGATGTCGACTGTGATACCATTGACTGACCGCCATTGATATCGTCTGATCGAACATGTACAGTTCTGACGTCCTTTGTTGACCGGGTCAGTGAGAAAACATCTTGAGCCGATCAGAAGGCAACATTTCTGTCGGAACACCAGTCGACACTTGAGGAATGTAGACACGGGACACACAAGGACACACAGAGAGGAAATGTTTGCTGTTGTAGACTTGGGCGATGTTGGTGTTGCATGTTTGTTGTAAGACCGGACCTTGTTGTGTGGGTCTAAGACAACGGGTTGACGTCTTCAAGGAGAACATGATCAAAGACTGGGCGCAACAGGAAAACATGGAATGGTGGGAGGGGGGGGGGGGTGGCGGGGTAAGAGTAGTTGGAATTGAGAGGCAAAGCCAACCTCGTCAGCCATTTTTTTCCAGGCACAGAAAAAGTGGACGGGGTCGCTAAAAGCGCATAATCCCAGTTTTGGAGCATAATAATAATAATAAATACTGTATTAAATAGCACATGAACACAATAATATAAATGAAATAATAGGAAATCTATCAACAAACACTTGTGAAAATAATTTCTTTAGTGCTACGGTGGGCTGCTCAACCTGCTTGCAGTATAGCTGCTGGAGAAAGAACAACTGGGGGAGGAGGGGGTAGGGGGGGGGGGCCTCAAAGATCCCAGGATCCGGTTCCGCTTTCCAACATATAACCAAGCAGATCAGTATATCAACTGTCTTCGTTGCTCTCATTGTCTTCCCTGCTTCCACTGTCTTGCGGTCTTTACAGTTTTCACTGTCTTGCGGTCTTTACAGTTTTCACTGTCTTGCGGTCTTTATAGTTTTCACTGTCTTGCGGTCTTTATAGTTTTCACTGTCTTGCTGTCTTTATAGTTTTCACTGTCTTGCGGTCTTTATAGTTTTCACTGTCTTGCGGTCTTTATAGTTTTCACTGTCTTGCGGTCTTTATAGTTTTCACTGTCTTGCTGTCTTTACAGTTTTCACTGTCTTGCGGTCTTTACAGTTTTCACTGTCTTGCGGTCTTTATAGTTTTCACTGTCTTGCGGTCTTTACAGTTTTCACTGTCTTGCGGTCTTTATAGTTTTCACTGTCTTGCGGTCTTTACAGTTTTCACTGTCTTGCGGTCTTTACAGTTTTCACTGTCTTGCGGTCTTTATAGTTTTCACTGTCTTGAGGTCTTTACAGTTTTCACTGTCTTGCGGTCTTTATAGTTTTCACTGTCTTGCGGTCTTTACAGTTTTCACTGTCTTGCGGTCTTTACAGTTTTCACTGTCTTGCGGTCTTTATAGTTTTTACTGTCTTGAGGTCTTTACAGTTTTCACTGTCTTGCGGTCTTTATAGTTTTCACGATCTATACTTGACGGTCTTTATAGTTTTCACGATCTATACTTGACGGTCTTTATAGTTTCCACTGTCTTGCGGTCTTTACAGTTTTCACTGTCTTGCGGTCTTTACAGTTTTCACTGTCTTGCGGTCTTTACAGTTTTCACGATCTATACTTGACGGTCTTTATAGTTTCCACTGTCTTGCGGTCTTTACAGTTTTCACGATCTATACTCGACGGTCTTTATAGTTTCCACTGTCTTGCGGTCTTTACAGTTTTCACTGTCTTGCGGTCTTTACAGTTTCCACTGTCTTGCGGTCTTTACAGTTTTCACTGTCTTGCGGTCTTTACAGTTTCCACTGTCTTGCGTTCTTTACAGTTTTCACGATCTATACTCGACGGTCTTTATAGTTTTCACTGTCCTGCGGTCTTTACAGTTTTCACGATCTATACTCGACGTTTTTATAGTTTTCACTGTCTATACTGGACATCTTTAAAGTTTTCACTATCTATATTTGACGGTCTTTACAGTTTTCACTATCTATATTTGACGTTCTTTACAGTTTTCACTATCTATACTTGACAGTCTTTACAGTTTTCACCATCTATACTTGACTGTCTTTATAGTTTTCACTGTCTATACTGGACGATCTTTAAAGTTTTCACTATCTATACTTGACGGTTTTTACAGTTTTCACTATCTATATTTGACGTTCTTTACAGTTTTCACTATCTATACTTGACGATCTTTAAAGTTTTCACTATCTATACTTGACAGTCTTTACAGTTTTCACTATCTATAATTGACGGTCTTGACAGTTTTCACTGTCTATACTTGACGGTCTTTACAGTTTTCACTGTCTATACTTGACGGTCTTTACAGTTTTCACTATCTATACTCGACGGTCTCTACAGTTTTCACTATCTATACTCGACGGTCTCTACAGTTTTCACTATCTATACTTGACAGTCTTTACAGTTTTCACTATCTATACTTGACAGTCTTTACAGTTTTCACTATCTATACTTGACGGTCTAAACAGTTTTCACTATCTATACTGTCTTCCCTGTCTACTCTGTCATACACATCTTTAGTATCCTCGCTGTCTTCGATGTCTTCCCTATCTTCTCTGTCTTCCCTGTCTTCGCTATCTTTCCTGTCTTCCCTGTCTTCTCTGTCTTCCCTGTCTTCTGTGTCTTCCCTGTCTTCACTGTCTTCCCTGTCTTCACTGTCTTCCCTGTCTTCTCTGTCTTCTCTGTCTTCCCTGTCTTCTCTGTCTTCCCTTTCTTCTCTGTATTTCCTGTCTTCCCTGTCTTCCCTGTCTTCCCTGTCTTCCTTGTCTTCTCTGTCTTCCCTGTCTTCTCTGTCTTCTCTGTCTTCTCTATCTTCCCTGTCTTCTCTGTCTTCCCTGTCTTCTCTGTCTTCCCTGTCTTCTCTGTCTTCCCTGTCTTCTCTGTCTTCCCTGTCTTCCCTGTCTTCCCTGTCTTCTCTGTCTTCTCTGTCTTCCCTGTCTTCCCTGTCTTCCCTGTCTTCCCTGTCTTCTCTGTCTTCCCTGTCTTCTCTGTCTTCCCTGTCTTCTCTGTCTTCCCTGTCTTCCATGTCTTCCCTGTCTTCTCTGTCTTCCCTGTCTTCTCTGTCTTCCCTGTCTTCCCTGTCTTCTCTGTCTTCCCTGTCTTCTCTGTCTTCCCTGTCTTCCCTGTCTTCCCTGTCTTCTCTGTCTTCCCTGTCTTCTCTGTCTTCCCTGTCTTCCCTGTCTTCCCTGTCTTCCCTGTCTTCCCTGTCTTCACTGTCCTCACTATCTTCCCTGTCTTCACTGTCTTTCCTGTCTTCACTGTCTTCCTTGTCTGCACTGTCTTCCTTGTCTGCACAGTCTTCCCTATCTTCCCTGTCTGTTCTGTCTTCCCCGTCTTTCCTATCTTCCGTGTCTTCACTGTCGTCACTGTCTTCCCTGTCTTCTCTACGTTCCATGTCGTATTTACCCGTATCGGACAGGTGTCTGTTATGAACCCAAAGATGCCGGGCCCCAAAATTTGTTGACGTCCCGCCATCAACTGTATTTGTCTTTTTCACCAAATAAAAATGTCTGTTAACAAAACAAAAACACTAGCCGTTGCCAAAGATCGAGCCCGAGTCTCCGGCATGAGCGCCCTGCGCTCTAACCACTCGGCCAGACGATGCATGTAGGACCAATCGGCTTAAGAAGTGACCACTATTGGCGTAGTCCAGGGTTTGTCTCCCACAGACGAAACTGACATCACTGAACTGGAGGTTCTAACATGGTCCTGCCTTTGTGGGTCATGAGGCCTCATTGGGGGTGGAGGCGGCAAGGAAAACCATATGCCCAATCACAAGCATGTCGTCAATAGCGACTAACTTGTGGTGTTCGGAAATAGAGTGAGTTTGGCCCAAAGATACTAATATCGCAGTCGAGCTGTAAACAACAGCAGAAAGTTCCAACTTCCCTGATCAGGACGAATGGAGAAGAATAAACTTCCACAACGTGTTGACCACATCAATCATCCAGTGCTGACTGGCAGAACAGAAGCGCCTTATCTGCTGACAGCAAGAAAATCGTCATTGGCTTTCCTTTGCCTCCCAAATGCCGGCTGTTTTCACACTCGCTAGTTCGCAGTCTGCCCGCACAACCTTCATCTAGCTTCTATGATTTAGCTGTTCGATTTCTGGGTCGAACTAACGGGACTTTTCATTCCTACCGCGTCTCTGCTAGGGTAGGGTGGGGACCGGGAATCGACAACATCGGCACTACGATCCCCCATATCCGGTGACGCTCCACTCAAGCAGCCGGCAGGGCACCGTGGATCCAGGCAAGCTGGGTCGCTGTGGTTTCAGGGACGGCACTAGCTCTGTGTCGGGTTTCTGTCTACCTGTAGCGGGAACAGTTGCCAGTCACCTGGTCTGGGCTGGGAGGTTTAAAGAACAGGAGATAAACAACTGTACCCAGAGAACCTGTTTAGTGTTCGGAGAGAAGTTAACTCATGCAGTCCGGCAACCGCCTGACGTCTTCTATCGTCCGTGCTGGTCCATCAACGGTCTAATACGTTCTTAAATCTGTAAGGATTAATCTGAGCGTTCTATAAAACCTGGCAATACATTTGAACGTTCGGGATAGTGTATGTTTGACACCCGACCTACACTTGGAATGTAATGTGTGCCTCCTTGGACATAAGAGAGTTATACTTGAAACACAAGTTACCGGTGACACAAACAGAAGGGGTGACGGTACCGCGGACAAGTGGGGTAGTAAGTAGCGTCCAGGTGACAGTGGGCGTGGCCAACTGGCACCATTAACCACTGGAGTCACCAGGGCTGGGCCAGGTAGCCAGTCAGTCTCTGGTGATAGGGTGAGGGTTTGAGACCAGAGGGCGATCACCTAACGTAAGCAGGGCGTCTAGCGATAACGGTTGTTCTGGTTGTTGTTGTCGTTGCTGTTGTTGTTGATGGCGGCGGTTTCCGCGTCGCTGCGAACTGTGTCAAATGTCGATAGGTCAGAAAGTGCAGACGATATTGTTTGTGTAATAGATTCATGGCGGACAAGGGACGCATTTGTGCTTCTGTAGGACATGGGACCTCACACAGACGGGACACAGGTAAGCTGATCATTGTTGTTCTACATCTCTCCCTCCCTACACATTTTCTTGACTGCCTGCTTATCTATCTATCCATCCAGTCTATCTATCTATCTATCTATCTATCTATCTATCTATCTATCTATCTATCTATCTATCTATCTATCTATCTATCTATCTATCTATCTATCTATCTATCTATCTATCTATCTATCTATCTATCTATCTATCTATCTATCTATCTATCTATCTATCTATCTATCTATCTATCTATCTATCTATCTATCTATCTATCTATCTATCTATCTATCTATCTATCTATCTATCTATCTATCTATCTATCTATCTATCTATCTATCTAGCTAGCTAGCTAGCTATCTATCTATCTAGCTATCTATCTATCTAGCTATCTATCTATCTATCTATCTATCTATCTATCTATCTATCTATCTATCTATCTATCTATCTATCTATCTATCTATCTATCTATCTATCTATCTATCTATCTATCTATCTATCTATCTATCTATCTATCTATCTATCTATCTATCTATCTATCTATCTATCTATCTATCTATCTATCTATCTATCTATCTATCTATCTATCTATCTATCTATCTATCTATCTATCTATCTATCTATCTATCTATCTATCTATCTATCTATCTATCTATCTATCTATCTATCTATCTATCTATCTATCTATCTATCTATCTATCTATCTATCTATCTATCTATCTATCTATCTATCTATCTATCTATCTATCTATCTATCTATCTATCTATCTATCTATCTATCTATCTATCTATCTATCTATCTATCTATCTATCTATCTATCTATCTATGAATGTGTGTGTATATGTATGTACGTATGTATTTCTGTACGTAAGTATGTTTGCATGTTTGTACTCACGTCATCTTTGCATAACCATAATGCACCACGTAGCTACTGTAATTTGGTCTAAATATGGAGCAATATGTCACGTGTTGATGACGTTTTGGAACAAATTGCCTGCCTATGGCGATGTCGTGGCTACCTCTGTGAAATTTCACAGGAGACAATGACCAAATGAACAAAGAGATGATGGGCACAACTAAGTGCGATGTTCGTGGCTACCTCTGTGAAATGTCATAGGAGACAATGACCAAATGAACAAAGAGATGATGGGCATAACTAAGTGCGATGTTCGTGGCTACCTCTGTGAAATGTCATAGGAGACAATGACCAAATGAACAAAGAGATGATGGGCACAACTAACTGCCATGTTCGTGGCTGACAGAAATAGGCCACATGAACATTAAGAGGGTTGCACGTATGCTCAGCTTCAAATACGTACCTGGTAAAGACGAGGGAAGTAAAGGCGTTCTGTGTGCTATTGACCTCACCATGCACCGAGTGCCGATTGATCTATACACGTATAAGCCAATCATATGTCCAAGACACCATGTATGCTGATCATCTCTGTCAAACCACAACTATTAAATATGGACTGAGTACACCGTCAACTCACAACTATGGAATATGGACTGATGCACACCGTCAACTCACAACTATAGAATATGGACTGATGCACACCGTCAACTCACAACTATAGAATATGGACTGATGCACACCGTCAACTCACAACTATAGAATATGGACTGATGCACACCGTCAACTCACAACTATAGAATATGGACTGATGCACACCGTCAACTCACAACTAATGAATATGGACTGATGCACATCGTCAACACACAACTATGGAATATGGACTGATGCACACCGTTAACATACAACTATGGAAAATGGACTGATGCACATCGTTTACTCACAACTATAGAATATGGACTGATGCACACAGTTAACATACAACTATGGAATATGGACTGATGCACATCGTCTACACACAACTATTGAATATGGACTGATGCATATAGTCAACACACAACTATGGAATATTGACTGAGGCATACCGTGTACACACAACTATAGAATATGGACTGATGCACACCGTCAACCACACAACTATAAAATATTGTCAGAAACCTGGCCATTGAAATAGTTCCATCTAATTCAGAAATGTGAACTAAATAAGCAAAGGTCTCATACAAAAAAATACTAGATGTCAGCAAGGAAGTATTCAGTTGTACTACTGTTGTATCGCTTGTATATATCGTTTCACTGAAGTGAAGACTGGACAGTTTCTGGGGCCAGCGCCTTGGCTTGGAGTTTAGTGGAAGCGTTTCACAGTCTAACCCTCGACTTACCAGGGCATGATTTCCGCGACGACCGGTAGAGATCCAGACAGATCTCGTCACTTTCAAACAGTGGTACCAGCGTTGCACCAGGGAAGGGATGGGGTCATCGTCTTGTTCCCACACACATAAAAGAATGTCTTGTAGAAAACTTCCAATGTGTAGATCCTACACATACAGAGCGAGAGACAGAGAGGGAGCAAGAGAGAGAGAAAAAGAGAGAGAAAGAGAAAAGAGAGGAAGAGAGAGAGGGAGAGATAGAGAGAGAGAGAAAGAGAGAAAGAGAAAGAGAAAAAGAGAGGAAGAGAGAGATAGAGAGAGAGAAGCATAGAGTAGGCACAAGAGAGAGATAGAGAGAGATATAGAGAGACAGAGGCATAGACTGAGCACAAGAGAGAGAGATAGAGTGAGCAAAAGAGAGAGAGAGAGAGAGAGAGAGAGAGGGAGAGGGGGGCATAGAGTGAGCACAAGAGAGAGAGAGAGATAGGGAAATAGAAAGAGAGAGAGAGAGAGAGAGAGAGAGAGAGAGAGAGAGAGAGAGAGAGAGAGAGAGAGAGAGAGAGAGAGCATTTCGTGCATCGCTGGATACCGAATTCCGAAGCCTGGGAGCAATGACAAAATGGAGCCGTGGTGTTTGCATTGTTCCATTCTCCCAGTAGACGCTCAGTCTGACCAGCTCTGCCCAAGTTAGAGACGGGCGTTTACCTCCTCAGCCAGTCCGTCTCTAACTGTGTAATAAGTCGCCAAATGGCGTGGACGTGATCGATTGCAACTGGCGGGGAATCGATAATTCAGACAGGCCAGTGGCAGATTGTTCTAGAGATGGCCAGTCGATGGATTCACTGAGTGCCGTCCACAAAGTGACTGCCAATCACAGATCGATGCTAACATTTAACATTTATTGCACCAGGCACAGGCCATGCCTTGACGATCTGTGGCAGGGGGCGGCAAGGGGCGCTGGTGTGGGGGTGGGGCATGGGGGTTATGGGACGGGAAGTTGGAGGTGTCAGGCTACAGG